GGGCCTGTAGCAAGGCAGCACATCAAGGTAAAAGCACAGAGTGAAGCAGAAACTGCTCACCTCGTGGCTGGAATGAACATCCCCAATGACTGTAAGGCCTCCACGAGACCTTGCCTGGTAAAGTCTCCCCTGTCTACCTCCCACTAGATCCATGAGCTAGGAACACATGGGCTCCAACACATGGGTTCTAGGGGACACTGCAGATCCAAGTTAGAGCACCTGCTGACTCAGAACCACAGGCTAACATGACCCTCAGGTGCTCTGTGTGCACTGAGGCAGGGAAACCGCCGGGGTAGGCACCGTTCCTTTCTGTCTTCCACAGCACCGTCACAATGCTCGCCACATTTACTGCAACTTCGACACTAACTTGTTGATGTCCAAAAAAAAAAAAAAAAATGAGAACATGAAGCCAACAAAGAATCTGGATTCCCCACAGAATGGGATTTATTTTCTTTTCCATATATTTATGGGTGCATTATAACTCAGACTGAGATTTAAAACCCAGTTTGTTATCAACTAGATAGGTGACCTTGGGTCAACGACTTTACCATGCATGCCTTTTCTTCTCCACGGGTGAAATGAAGAATAATTTATACCTCACAAAGTAGTCATGAAACAAAGTAGTCAAAACACCTAACTGTGGGAAAATGGAGGAACTTTGATTGGGCAAAGGGGAGGGAGGGTTGGGGAGCAGGTATGGGGGTAGGAAAGATGGTGGAATGAGATGGACATCATTACCCTAGGGACATGTATGACTACATATATGCTGTGACGCTACATCGTGTACAACCAGAGAAGCAAAAAGTTGTGCTACAATATATACAATGAATCAAAATGCATTCTGTTGTCATATGTACCTAATTAAAATAAATAAAGAAATTAATTATAAAAAAAAAAAAGAAATAGAACTTAGGGGGAAAAAAAAACTAACTGTGCCAAGCACATAGTAACATGGGGAAAAAAATTAAAAGAAAAAGATATTTCCAAGGCCTAGCTTAGTGCTTGACATACATTAACATTTAGGAAACATAACTGAAATGAATTGAGTTGGAACAGGTTAGCTTTCAGCATCCAAGGAAACAGAATGTCCACATGAGGAGGAGGGAGTTTCAGAAACTTTGATCTCACTGCCTGCTTTCCTCTTGTGCTTGATGGTTTTCACAGCGTATCATCAGCTGTTGACACATGGGAGGATTTGTCCCTGCCTACGCAAAGTCTTTGCCTTGCGACATTCAGGAGATGGATGGAGATGAGTGAGGTCGGAGACCATGTGGCCTTGGCATTTGGTACACACAGGCCACCACCCTCCAGACTTCAAAGCAAATAGAACAAACTGGTGCTGTGCACCAAATTCAGTGCTGGCCCCTGTTTTGCTGGATCTATAAGGTTTTAATTTTATTTTAGTTACTGGAAGACTTTTAAAAATCAGGAGAATTGGGGGGAGGGAGTGGAATCTGACTTTCTGTTTTCTCTTAAAAAAAAATCAGCATCACTCAATCCCCAGGCCTGCTGGGCAGCCGTTAGCTAAAGCAAAGAGCAGCTGCTCTCTTTGGCAGCCTGCTCGTCCCACTTTGCCACAGCCCATACCGTGCCCTCTTGTCATGCTTCACCTAAACATATTCTCTCTTGGCCTCCATCCACCTGTCTCTATCCTCTCCTTGACTGGCACCTGGAGAGAAGAAGATCCCAGGGAATTTGCAAAGAATTTTGGCCCTCATAATCCAGGGAATGAGGCTTTGAATGTATTGTGTCTTCCTCTTAAGCATCAGGGAGACCCTTAAGATCTAATATAAACATTTTATGTTTTTCATTATTCGAGCACTTAGTGTGTACCAAGATTTCTGCATAATTTTCATGTTTTATCTTTATAATAATTCTGAGGTGGATGTTGTGAGTCCCATTTTGTGGATAAGAAAAGTGATGCTCAGAAAGGTTGATACACTTTCCCAGGTTCACATGGGAGGCCAGTGGCGGAATTGGGACTTAAGCATGCATCTGGCAGACCCTAGTGTTCCTAAGCCCCTGGCTACAGGCTTAACTTCATATATGTGCACTTATGGGCTGCAAGATGGTAAACCCCCATAGATTACAATACACTAACTCCATCATCTGAAACTAGTTGAAAAGAAAGATAAAAAAAAAATCAATCAGGGGCTGGGTGCAGTGGTGTACCCCTGTAATCCCTGCGCCTTGGGAGGCTGAGGCAGGAGGATCACAAGTTCAAAGCCAGCCTCAGCAAAAGTGAGGCACTAAGCAACTCAGTGAGACCCTGTCTCTAAATAAAATACAAAATTGGGCTGGGGACGTGGCTAAGTGGTCGAGTGAGTTCAATCCCCA